GGGCACCACTGAGAGGGAAAGGGCACCACTGAGAGGGAAGGGGCACCACTGAGAGGGAAAGGGCACCACTGAGAGTGTGAACGTGTGAGGAAGGAGAGGTGGTGGAGAAGTGAAGGAAATGAAGACAAGGGAAAACAAAGAGGATGTGAGGAGGGAGGAGGGAGGGAGGAGGAGGGAGGAGAGGAGGAGGGAGGTGGAGGGGGGGAGGAGGAAGAGGTGATGAAGAAAAGAAAGGTGGGTGAGGAAGTTGAGGAGGAGGACAGGGGCGAGAGTAGGAACAAGGGGGGGAGGTAGAGAAGAAGGGAAGAAGAGGCAGAAAAATAACCCCAAGCTACCCTCCTCTACCATAACAATACCGACATATGTACAGGTACGGCACCACGATGAAAAAAAAATATATCAAGGAAAATTGAGGAGGAAGAGGGGAGGTTGTTGTAGGTACGGGAGGGGGGAGGAGAGGGAGGGGGGAGGAGAGAGAGGGGGGAGGAGAGAGAGGGGGGGGGAGAGGGAGGGAGGGGCCGAAACACCATATAGGGCACCAAGGCCGGGAGCTGTGGCCTGGTGGGTGGAACCAGCCAAACAGCTCTCACTTATTCTCGCCTCTTTCTCCTTACCTGAGCCACAAGGAACTCTCCCACCCACACACCTGTAACAGCCTCCTCAGTACTGTACCTCGAGTGTCACGTCACCACCACCGTCATGATGAAACGGACTGTACGCCTCTCCCACCAAGGCTGAGTCAAGGTTGGGGCCGTGCGCTGGTAGGCTGTATTCCCTTTAACTCGGTTTATGCCGGCCTGTGTCGCTCGCTGTTCGCTATCACGTATCAAGTCCCCTGCTTGCCCCAGCACAGCCAGCCGACCTACCTACCTACCTACCTACCTCACACACACACACACACACAAAGACCAGACAGGTAAATGGACAGGTACATATAAATAAATAAATTGTGCTTTGACTAAGATCACACAGAGGTGTTTAAATGGGGTGGAATGTATGTATGAATGTATATACTGTATGTATTATTTGTATAATTATGGAGGTCCACGTGTATATGGACTACTGAGAGATGTATGTATGTTTGTACTGTATGTAAGAGAATTACTTTCACGACCACCACCATCCTTCACCAACGTCATCATTACCACCACCCCATTACCGTCTCAGTCAACTCCACCAATCAGCGCCCAGTTAAGACTATCGTGACTGGACGGACAACTTGAAGTTCCAGTCCCCCCTCCCCCACCCCTCACCGGCCGGCTGCCCACTGCACGTTGGCTGCCTTGTGATCATATGCCCCTCTCTCCCACACCTCACCCACCACCACTAACCAGGCATCCAGCAGCGATACACCCACTCCTACCTGCCACACCCGACACACTCAACACTCCCTGACACACTCAACACTCCCCGACACATTCAACACTCCCTGACACTCTCAACACTCCCTGACACACTCAACCACTCCCCGACACACTCAACCACTCCCTCCCACATTAAACACTCTCCTTTCTGCCACTGAGAGAGAGAGTGAGAGAAAATCCCTCTGCACACACACACACACACACACACACCATGTATGAATCCTAACTATCATTTCTGTACGTGCTTATACATTATCTTACTTGGCGTGTGCCAGACCTGGGGAAGAGAAGGAGAGAGAGGGAGTGGGGAGGGTAAAATGAAAAGAATGAGGGGAGGGAATAGATGGGGAGAGGAGGGTGGGAGGAAGAGGGGGAGGGTGGGAGGAAGAGGGATAGAGGAGGGGCGGGAGAGAGAGGGAGTAGAGGTGGAGGGGAGGGAGGAAGAAGGAAAGGGGGAGGGAAGAAGAAGGGGGATCAAGAAAGAGGAAAAAGGGAGGGAGTAAGGGGGAGGGTGAGGGAGGAAGAGGAAAGGGGGAGGGGTGTTATGTTGCCCAAATTACCTATCAAATCGATGTCAAGCATAATGTTCAAGCTGGCTGGAGACTCCTCGACCTTGCCTTAACCCGTCCGCCATCCAGCCACCTCCTCGGCGCCCCCCACAGGAACAAGTTAAGTGTCTTGATGGAACATGGCGGGACAGTACAGTACATCACAATTCAGTACCTCAAACCCTTACCAAGTTACTCTGAATCCCGTTATTTGCTGCGAAGGAAAAGATTGCAACAACACAAACGAAAGAGAGAGAGAGAGAGAGAGAGACACACACACACACACCCCTCCCTCGCGCAGGATCCATTCATGAGATTGCGGCCACGGCGGAAGGAAATAGTCGGACGATGGCGTAGTGGGCAATGTTCCAGAGATTTCCTGGAAGGTAATGTAAATCCTGGAAAAGAGAGAGAGAGAGAGAGAGAGAGAGAGAGAGAGAGAGAGAGAGTTCAATATCTCTAAGCGTCGTCGATGCCTCCTCCACTCTCAGAACTAGGGGTTATCACCAACTCCCACTAGATAAAACTGAAGAAGAGATAACCAAGGCAACAGAGATGACCATCACCCCCCCCTCTCCCACACACACACACACAGCCGAGGGAAGTTCCACCGCGCTGACGTAACGTAATGCTAGCTAAAGGCTGAGTCAAGGGCGCTGCTGCTACTACTACTACTACTACTATTAGTACGACTACTACTAATGCTGTCAAGTCACTGCACTGAAACACCACAATATCAACAACCGTACACACACCCACCCACACCACCCACTCTCCCACCCACAGTCAGTATTACACAAGACCCTTTTAACACCCACAGTGAGCCTCGTACCGCCAGCTAAGGAAGACCTCTCCTACCTGACCTTCCCGTCCCCCTCCACACACACAGACAGAAGCCTCACAAAACGAGGAGAAGGAGTCACAAGATTTGGAATTAGAAAGGAAACCCGGATAATAAGCGTTACTAGACGTCCAAGATTAACAAAAACAACAACAAATGAGAGAGAGATCCATTCCTCACCTCGCCAGTGCAGTGTTGACACGGGTCTTCCTACACTGTTACCAGGATCCTTCTCTACCGACACGCTGATCCAACCCTCTACCCCCGCACACACGACCCCTGCCAGCTCGTGTCTACACCTGTACCAATGTTCATAACCATTAACCAATTTCCAACTCTCGATACACTGATGTCACAACCTAAACCCTTCCTCAACTCGGTCAACTGGTTCTCTGAGATGAAGGAGCAGAGAGAGAGAGAGAGAGAGAGAGAGAGAGAGAGAGAGAGAGAGAGAGATATTTGTACTAAACACTACACCAATTTCTGTACTATCAAATTCACACATAAAGAGTACATCGCCCACAAGTACACTACACGGTGTACAGTATTATCCCACGAACTAGTACGGGTTAGGTTAGGTTAGGTTAGATTAGGTCAGGTCAGACAAGCTTACGTTAGGTTAGGTTAGGTTCGGGTATATTAGAACCTATGTAGGATCGGACAAGAATGGTTTCCACACCTGGTCTGCAATGCTATTTCCTCTCACCGTCGGTAACCTGGTCCCCCCGCGCCTCGCCCACACATTAATGCCACTTACACAATCCTCTTATCTTACACACCGTCTTATGTACCGCAACTAACTACAACACCTGCCTACCTAGAGGTGTGTGATGTGGTGGTGGTGTAGGGATTGGTTTGATATGGTGTGGTAGTGGTGTGGTGTTTGCGTCACTGGCACGGGGTGGGTTACTTTTAACAGTTCGAGAGAGAGAGAGAGAGAGAGAGAGAGAGAGAGTGTGTGTGTGTGTGTTGGTGACGACATAGTCTAGACGTGTTTGAGGTGGGCAGTATTTGCTCCTTGACGAGGCAGTCGGCACGAACTGATTGTGTCAAGTCGCCCTAAGAAGTCCATGCGGGCGGTTACGTCAACAATATCGCACACTAGACACATCTCTCAGAACCCACCACCACTTTAACCACACCCAACACACCTCTCCTTCACCCACCACCACTTACCATCACCCAATACACCTCTCCTTCACCCAACACACTCACTCCCACTTACCCTCACCCAATCATCCAGAAGGTACTCTCCACACCTCTCTTCAGGTAGCAGTGTAGCAAGAGACAACAGTAGATCCTATCAATCAACTAAAGGCTTCTTCCTCCCCTACATCACCCGTTCAACAAAACACAATCAAGCCACCGTGATCTTAGTGACGGTGGCGCCATCCCTCCTGCCAGTAGGGAGAGGGAGTGGGGGGGTAAGAAGGGAGGGAGGCACGTGTATCAATCCAGTAACTGTGAATGTGTAGACGGCGTTTACTGTCATACACAACACTATTAGGCAAATGTGATGACCCAACATTCTCCCTCTTGTACGAACGTGTGTGTGTGTGTGTGTGTGTGTGACCAATTTATATAATTCTAAAAATGTACCGTGATGCAGTGGCCTTGGAACGTGGTGAAGAATATATATATATATATATATATATATATATATATATATATATATATATATATATATATATATATATATATATATATATATATATATATATATATATATATATATATGACAAGGGTGAAGATTAATGTATCTATGTGAAGTGGAGAGTTATTCCTGGATTTTGTATACGTGTGTGTGTGTGTGTGTGTGTGTGTGTACTGGAGTGGAGGCCTGTCAATTCCAATGGTGAACTGGAGGCTGTCAAATCCTATGGTGAACTGAAGGCCTGTCAATTCATATGGTGAACTGAAGACCTGTCAAATCCTATGGTGAACTGAAGGCCTGTCAATTCATATGGTGAACTGGAGGCCTGTCAATTCATATGGTGAACTGAAGACCTGTCAATTCATATGGTGAACTGGAAGGCTGTCAATTCCTATAGTGAACTGGAGGCCTGTCAATTCATATGGTGAACTAAAGGCCTGTCAATTCATATGGTGAACTGGAAGGCTGTCAATTCCTATGGTGATCTGGAGGCTGTCAAATCCTATGGTGTACTGGAAGGCTGTCAATTCCTATGGTGATCTGGAGGCTGTCAGACCAACACCAATAACAGTAAAGGGGGTTAGAGTACTCACCTCCTTGCCGGTGGGAACGTGTTTGGCGAGTTTGACCTTGGCGAAGTTGCCCTTGCCGATGGTCTTGAGGAGGCGGTATTTGCCGATCTCCTCCGTCCTGGAGCGGGAGGAGGAGCCCCGCACTGATGACGACGACGACCCGCTACCCCCGCCGCCCCCCGTGCTCGACATGCCACCCACGCCATCTTCACCCTGTAAACAGACCAAAGAAACTTGAGGTTAATAAGACTTGTGGTGGTACATGTTGACTTATGTGTTAATACTATACATGTTCTCATCTCTCTCTCTGACACACACACACACACACACACACACACACACACACACACACACACACACACGAGATAAAATTAATAAAATACTAAAAATCTAATTAAGTTCTATGACTAAAACAATATACATGAAAGGTTGGACCAAGATGTACATTGCTAGCTACGGTATCATGTTAAAAGGTCTTATAAACTAATAGGGCGGGTAGTAGTCGTAGTAGTATGTGGACACTTAGAGGCGCCTCCATAAGTCTTCCTAGGGCACCCTCGACCCCATCACCCACCTCTGATCCATCCCTCCTCCCCCATCACCCCCTACCCTCCCTCCTCTCCCCCACCATATATTTCTTCCTCCCATATCTTTAATTATTGATCGACTGGTGACATGACTTAAACTTATTACGCGCTTACAAAAAAAAAACTGTTGAAATTATATCCTGCAAAACAACTACACTAAAACGACGCCATGACAATTATTTATTCGAGAGATACATAACAGACAGACTGCACCTAGCACGCTCTTGGAATAATGAGGGGTATCAAAAGACCACATATTATGAACATACGAAATAAATATATGTAAAAGTTAAATTAATCAATGTGTGTGTGTGTGTGTATGTGTGTGTGTGTGTGTGACATGACCACCTTCATGAAAATCATTCAAGACACCGAGCATACATTTCTTCTGAGCACGCACACACACACACACACACACACACACACACACACACCTATACCTCTCTATCTTTAGCTTTATGTTCCCTGCCTTTAATGTTGGAGCAGGGACTAGAGGTGTGGAGTGGTGGAACAGGAGCGCCCCCTCGCCACACCACAGCTGACCAAGTAAACATACATATATACTCACAGGCCAAGCACAGGGAGCGTCTGGCAACTTGGAAGGGTAACTGAGCTTAAAACACACACACACACACACACATTACTATAATCCAATAACTCCTATAATCAGTCTTAATAATCCAGTAATCTGTCTCTTAGTCAAACAAAAATGCTTCCGCCAATACAGTACCTTTCGGGCGATTTTTATACACACTGGCTTAAATGATTTTCGTAGAGATCTTGGGAATTCTTGTAATAAAACAGCAAGAGTGTCCTATTCTTGTTCGAGATCTGTGTGTGGATACTAGCAGTGTGTAGATCGTAAACCGGTGCCCCACGACCCCTCCCCCCCCACCAGTTAGTTATTGGACGCTGTTCATCCCACGTCCATATATGGGATACAAAATGCCTCCTCAGCCTAGTCTACTGATGTGGGACCTCTCTATATAAGTACACAGGCTCCGGAGCAGCTCTTCTTCTACTACTACTAACATACACACACTCTCCAAGACCCTTATATACAGACCGAGTTATTGTACATTAGGTTTTTATTTCCCGAATTACGTGGGGATTAATCTTCAGGTGATCTGGGGTATTTTTCTCACCTGCGTCAACTTGAGGTTATTACAGGTATTCCCCGTCCCCAGCTTCTCACCCCTTTCCTTTCCCTCCTTTCTGAGTAAGCTATTCGTTAACATGATCAAGTATATACCTTCTCCGTTTGGGTTTGGTTACGGGAGACGCCGAGGCATAAAAAGAGATTCAAGGACAGGCAAGGTACAGCAGCCTCGGTAAGGACGCCAGGCAACAGTAGGAGCGGAAGCCCCCAGCAGCTGCCACAACCTCCCGCGCCGGCACTGAGGAAACCCGCCTTGTCCACACTATCGATTCTCCAGGGTGTGTGTGTGTGTGTGTGTGTGTGTGTGTGTGTGTCACTTGTCCTGGGTGGATCCTCAACTCCTGGGGTGAGTGAGTTTGGTGTTGTCCCGAGAGTAGAACCTTCACAGTCCAAGGGGAGGGGGGAGGGGCGGGGCACGTCACTCCAGGAATAATTTGAGGGTTATGTTGCGCAGCTCAGCCCTTTCATCACAGGTTAAGGTGAGAGGAGGGGGTGGGGAAATTCCTCGTTAACTCCTCTTCCTCCTCCAGTGTACTAAGAAATGTTCCAGAAGGTTCGTCATTCCAGGAGTAAGGTTAGGTTAAGTTACTCCGTGTTGAGTTGACAATATCCTACACAACAGGAAGCCAAGGTGGATCAAGTCCAGTCGGAGGAGCAGAGCGTTGGTGAGGGGGAGGGAGGGGAGAGGGAGAGGGGGGAGTCAAGACACGGCGGCAAAACAGCGAGACCTGAGCGTCAACTTTAACCTTTCTAAGGAAGTGCCTCACAAGACGTGTGTGTGTGTCTGGCCGGCGAGGTACACACACATGTCATCTGTTTGCCAGCATTCTCTTCACCTCTCTCCCGCACAACATATCAGACGTCACATTTAATAGTATATTTACGTGGCTGAATCATTGGTTGATGTGTGTGTGTGTGTGTGTGTGTGTGTGTGTGTGTGTGTGTTAAATCGTCGTCAATTTAACCCGACACGTTATTAAATAAGCTCCGCCAAGGACGTAAACTTATGTTATTTACAGAAAAGTTTAAATGTGTAATGTCGAGAGAGAGAGAGGTCGTGCTAGTGTTAACGTGAAATTTCCTACCTTACTTACTTACTTACTTACTTACTTACACACACACACACACACACACACACACCATCATCATCTTGGCGTCTTGAGATAACACCATGACATCTTGAGCTAATCACAACACGAGACGAACGCGTATACCACTCCTTCCTTCACTAACGATACTAACCTACTAGCCATACAGTGAGATATACACTTACACTAATACGTGACACTAACAGCTCACTTTCAATGGTGTACACACGAAAGCAGGTCAAGAAAACACACGGTAGGGGTGATTAATGAGTGGAGGGAGGGAGGGGAGGGGAGGTTATTTATCATCAGCTTAGGGGGGTGGAGGGGGGGTTAATCTTCACGTGATCAAAGGAATAGGACGAGATGGCGGAAGTGGAGATAGAGTGGGTGAGTGGGTGGGTGGGTGGGTGGGTGGTCAACAAGGTGTGGACGATGACAACCTTGGCGGGTGGGGTGGGGTGGAAAACTGGGTCACATGCTCACCTCAGTCGCCGTTCCTCTCTCACTACCCAGCACTCACTCGCCCATACAAGAATTTCACTCTCCTCCTTTCACTGTATATGTGTATTAAAAAAAAATTAAAAAAAAAAAGATTTAACACCCCAGCTTAATTCACCTGAAGATTAAACACCCCAGCCCAGCTTATTTCCCCAAGAGATTAAACACCCCAAAGCTTATTTGACCTGAAGATTTAACACCCAGCTTAATTCACCTGAAAGATTAAACACCCCAGCTTATTTGACCTTAAGATTTAACACCCCAGCAATTCACCTGAAGATTAAACACCCCCAGCAATTCACCTGGAAGATTAAACACCCCCAGCTTAATTCACCTGAAGATTAAACACCCCTAACCCAATTCACCTGAAGATTAAACACCCCCAGCTTATTTGACCTGAAGATTAAAACACCCACAGCTTAATTCACCTGAAGATTAAACACCCCAGCTTATTTCACCTTAATCTAACTCAACTCAAATATAATCTAACCTCAACCAACTCCTCCCAATCTAAACTAATCTGAGACAACCTCACCTAACCCCTTCTCCCCATTGACTGTGTGTGTGTGTGTGTGTGTGTGTGTGTGTGTGTGTGTGTGTGTGTGTCGCATTACATTCACTATTTACAAATTTAATCTTCTCATCTCGGCACAACCTAACCTAACCTAACCTATTCCCAGCGCTACCTACAACTAGATGATGCTCCTCGCAATTCTCAAGGAACACCTGTGTGGGCAAGGCTCCTGCAGGTGTGTGGGGGTAAGACTCTTGCAGGTGTGTGTGGGTAAGGCTCCTACAGGTGTGTGTGGGTAAGGCTCCTACAGGTGTGTGTGGGTAAGGCTCCTACAGGTGTGTGGGGTAAGCTCCTGCACAGGTGTGCGTGGGTAAGGCTCCTGCAGCAGGTGTGTGTGTGGGTAAGCTCCTGCAGGTGTGTGTGGGTAGCTCTTGCAGGTGTGTGTGGGTAAGGCTCTTGCAGGTGTGTGGGGGGTAAGGATCCTGCGGGTGTGTGTGTGTGGGTAAGGGTCCTGCGGGTGTGTGTGGGTAAGAGGTCCTGCAGGTGTGTGTGTGGGTAGGCCTCCTACGGGTGTGTGTGGGTAGGGTCCTGCGGGTGTGTGGTTAAGGCTCCTGCAGGTGTGTGTGGGTAGGTTCCTGCAGGTGTGTGGGTAGGCTCTGCAGGTGTGTGTGAGTAAGGCTCCTGCAGGTGTGTGTGGGTAAGGCTCCTACGGGTGTGTGGGTAAAGGCTCCTACAGGTGTGTGTGGGTAAGCTCCTGCAAGTGAGGTGAGGGTAAGCTCCTGCAGGTGTGTGTGGGTAAGGCTCCTGCAGGTGTGTGTGGGTAAGGCTCCTACAGGTGTGTGTGGGTAAGCTCCTGCAAGTGAGTGGGGGTAAGCTCCTGCAGGTGTGTGTGTGGGTAAGCTCCTGCAAGTGAGTAGGGTTAAGGCTCCTGCAGGTGTGTGGGTAAGGCTCCTACAGGTGAGTAAGCCCTCCTACCTACACCCCCCCTGCTCTAGTACATGCCACCAAGCCCCACACACCACACAACCTGCAGGGCTTCGGGGGGGTGTGGCCATGCATCTTACTGGCTTACTCAAGGCTGCCATATTACGGGTCCCCACCTACACCACAACACTCATTACATCACCTAACCTACCCACGATGGAATTTTATTTGGCTATTAGTCTTCATTCAATGTCAAGGAAAACATACAACTTTATTATACCAGAAGGGGGGGAAAATACAGCCAGCCAGCGTTAATATGACAAGCTGGGTCGCAAAATGGAGAGTCTGCTCGTAATGCAATTTAAGATGGTTAAGTCGGAGTGCTGCTACCCTTCCCTACCCACACAACCCCTTGCCAGCGTTGAACAATACATAATACTGTT